TAAAAATAATGATTTTAAATTTAAAATTATTATAAAACAATATTATTTTATTACATGGGTTAGATTATTAGATTTAAATATTAAAATTGATTTTATTTATGTTGCTTAAATTTTTATTTTTATTTTTACATTTTAAAATTCAAAATATGTTTTAGACCTTAAACAGCCTATTTCATCATTGTAAGATTGATCTGAACCAAATTTTATGGTTTCCTTTTAAAAGATGAAAAGTACAAATTAGTATCAAATTTTCATTTGACTCGTAAGTGGTTTATTTTGTTAGATTTATGCTTATTGTCCTTTTATTTGTTTTATCAGTGTTAACATATATTCTAATTTTAAAATATAAAAGGACAGAAATATTAAACTTATTTAATCTAAAAGTAATATATATATATATATATATATTTACTTGAAACATACAAGATTAAATGTACAAATATTTTTTCTTAAAAGAAATATAACAATCAAGGTACGATGACATTTTCAATCTAAAAATTTCCTTTATGTGCCTAATATTTTGTTTCTAAGCCAATTTAATTTTTTACATGTTATCCTCAACTTTAAAAACTTGAAGATGAGGAAGATTATAGCATCTAGGTCATGGTAGGTTCATAGTGTACCCTTTTTCTTCTTCAAAGTATATAGAGTAAATTGACTGATCTCATGTGACATGATATATTCATGCGCTGACGTGACAAGTTTAATAGGAACACTTTTTTTTAGGAAGAGTTTATAGAAACATATGAAACACAGTTTAGATTCTTTAAATATGCTATACTTTACAGAAATAAAAGTATAATTAAAAAAAAACAAAATGCACTCGAATGCATAATCTTATAATGTAAAAAGAAAGTATTTAATAATTATCAATTAAAGAATAATACTTTGGTATTTAAGACTTAAACTTTTTTAGACAGTTAAGTACATGAACATAAAAAATCAGTGAATGATTTGAAAAAATTTCCATAATCAGTCAAAAAGCCTATGTGTGACCAAAATATCTCAATTTGTATAATGCTGGGAAGAAAACAATTGCATAAAAACAGGTTGCTAATTATAGATTGAAGATACAGCTACAGATAGTTCTAATTTAGACCAACCAAAATTGATATTTAGTGAAAACTTTAGGACTGAAGAAAAAAAAAACAATATTTGTTGAAAAATTCGGAGATGAATATTAGAGTTCAATGAATATAGGTTGGTAATTGTTAATGGTACTTTAAGTATTCATTAAGATGAATATACATTTTAAAGAATATATATAATTTAGTTGTTCATAAGAAGAATGCAAAATATTATAAAATTTAACTTTCGTTTAAATTTATGAAATTAAAATAGATTATTTTTATTTTAACATATAGTAAATTTAAATTTCTTTTTTAGAAAAAAAATTTTTTACACTACTATTTTATGATGTAATTTTACTAAGATTATATGTTAAGATGACTTTCATTTGAGGTAATATTTTAACGAATATTTTTAAGATATATTTAATATTTTAATAATTCATGAATATACTTTATTATACCTGTGGAAATGTGATTATACAATAGAGATATACTTGATTGAAGTGAATTGTGAATTTTTATGGCATGCCATGAAAAGTCAATAATATTTAAGGATAATGTTAAGTCAATAATAATTAATCAATAACATTATTAATTATCAAAATAAAACTAATATCAATGTTACAAAACTAAATGATTGGTATAGACTATTTTACCATTCTTGTTTTTACCTAATATGCTTTAGAAATAACTCATCTAATCCTTAGTCTAATCTTCTTTAATTTCTTTTCAAACAAACAATTTCACCAGTACTTGCATAGAAGTCGTTTAATTCAATTATTGGATGTATATCAAATAGAAAGGAAAGATAATTAAGACTTATCAGAACAAGTTTGTCCACAAATATTTATAAGAAAATAATTAATTAAATTTTATAATCGAATTATACACATACCATTTTAAAAAGTTAATCTAACCTTTTTTTAAGTTGAGATACATAAAATTAAATTTTAGCTTATAAAAACAGAAAAAAAAAATCAAATGTGGTGTAAGTTATAAAAAATATTACACTATTTAATATCTTTCAATTAGATTATGTGTTTTTAAAACTCATGAAAGTTATTATTACACAAAAACTTTATAATAGTCTAAAATTATCTTATATTTTTTACACAAATCAAAATTAATGTAACGTATATGTATAAAATATACTAAAATATAAATTATTCAATATTGCTGAATTTAATAAATTTTGACATAAATAACTTTAATGATGTAAAATTATATAATTTAAAATTATTGATGATGCAATATTTAACCTGTGTTTTTTTCACTCTTCTTTCTCTTATTTTCATCATTTTCTATTTTTTCAAATTCACCAAAATATAATTTATACAGATTTTAAAATAAAATTAGACTTAATTTTTTTTTGAGACACCTAGTTGATGACTACAAACTGATTGTCAAATTTCTTTTCGTGAGAGCAATAACTTTAATGATGTTAATGATGGACAATTATTTATATGATAATTTATAATTATTATTATTATCATTCTAATTATTGACGTGGTAAAGTTTATCCAACGTATTTTATTTATTAATTAAATATATGTGAGAAACTCATACATTAAATACTGCAGAAAGTATACAGCAATCTAAACATAAGTTATCTCAATGACTTTTTTTTTTCTATTATTCGTTGCATCGTAATTTTATTATTTTATTGATAGATATATGCTTTGGTCATTTTGAAAGAGTTATAACAATGAGATCAATATATAATAATAATGTAAATTAAATGTGCACAAAATACTTTGCAGCAACACATTTAAATTTAGGAATTATAAGTTATGATTGGGTCTTATGTTATTTATGAAAAAATGAACATAAATTTGAAAAAATATTCTATCACAGCTACTCTGATTGCTAAGGTATGTTTGGTATGGCAACAATGTGGGTCAGTAGCACAAGTTAGTTACAACAAATGATTGTCGTTGCAAAAACGTCATTAATTAAAGTTATAATTGTTGTTTGAAACCTCAATTATTACAACAACAATGCAAAAATGTCAAAAGATAGCAAACTGTACATTCACAGTATCACAACTTTCTTTGTTACAATGTTGTTATCATAGCATAAACCATCTTTTTCATTCAAATAACTGACTTCTCTAATACATTTTCCTTTTTTTTCATATAAATAGCATTATTATTGTAACTTAATTCAATTCATTGTTTATCCACTATCTCAATTAATTATTAAACTTTCCTTTCTTTATTTATTTAATATATTTTTTCCTATTATTCATCTATCTATCTAGACTAACATGGTCCATTCATTATAAGTCAGTTTAAAACTATGCTTTAAGTTCTTTTAATAAAAATTATTTTTATAGATTATGAATAGTATTTCAATTATCATTAAATACAACATTTTATTATCACATTCCAAAGTATTTAATATTTCAAAAATATTAACTGGTTATATTTTTCTGTCAATATTAATTAATATTATTTCCGGATCAAAGAAAGTTAAATTAGTTTTTAGTTGAAGTTAATGCGACTTTTTTATTTTATTTATATCTATCGAGATTAGTTTTTTAATTTAGATTTGAATTATTTTTTGACATTGTCAAGAAAATTATTTTTTATTTACTTTTTGTCGATAAAAAATTCATTTAGCTAAGATTGACAAAAATATCCTATTGAATAATGCGTATAAGAAAAATATATGCAAAAAATACACTAAAAAATCTCAATAACCTTCAAGTGAAAAAAAGAGTATGATATCCGTTATGAAAATAGGTATACAATGATTTTTTTAATATTGACTAATAAATCATGACTAATATTAATTCGGAAATAATATAATCTTAATTAATAAATAAAAAAAAAGTAACAATATTGGCAAAAATAATCATAATTGACTTCACTTTTAAGGATTCTTTTATAAAAAAAATCTATATTGTTTTAATTTGGACCGAGTCAATGATATTTCAAACGAGGTTAAGCAATAATAAACTAGTTATAGTTAAACAAAAACATCTTAAATTAAGATAAGTGAACAATATTCTAATCTTAACTAATCAATAACACGGTATTTGATGTTAAGTTAATAAAATAATATAAAAATATAAATAAGAGAAAATATATCACGAAATCTTCTTATAATTTAAAATATTCAAATCATTCTCATGAATTTATTGAATTTCATATTCTTAAAAAAATCAGTCTAACTCGCAAGTATTGAAGTTTGTTGTAATTCAAACTTATTGTTTTGTTCGTTTCCTGTTATATTGTTACTGTTTTATCAGTCACAGTATCTCATGTATATAAACACTGTTTTCTTCTATTATAAAATAATACAATCACTTCATTCATTCTGTTTAGTGCATACCTTCCTCTCTACCTTCTATTCTCTGTTCTATTAGTGGTATCCAGAGCCAGGTTGTAAAAACCTGGGGGATGTGCATTTTCAATCTTTCTTCACAGTGTCACTAAGGTGGCTGAAGGGTGTGCTTAAGACGGTTGAAGGTGGTCAAGAAGACAGTTCTTGGACAAGAAAAGAGAAGGCGTCATGGCTGATATTCCTGCCGCACGCTTTCCTATTCTCACAGATAAAAATTGGAATAGGTGGAGTGCACAGATGAAGGTATTGTTTCACTATCAAGGTGTCAGTGCGATTGTGGAAGAGAGGGGATGTGAACCTGATCTTGGTGGCACAGAGGAACAGAAGGAGGAGCTTAGGAGGAAAGATGATAAAGCTCTGTTTTTCATCCATCAATGCGTGGACGACGTGCATTTTGAAAAGATTTAGAATGTAGCCACAACAAGAGAGGCTTGGGGTATACTGGTGAGATGCTATACCGGAGGAGAAAAGGTTAAAAAAGTGAAGCTTCAATCGTTAAGAAGGCAGTACGAGCACTTGTTGATGGATGATGGAGATAAAGTGAATGAGTTTTTCAACATAATATTGTCAATCGTTAATCAAATGAAAGCTTGTGGAGAAACGATTACAGACCTTATGTTGATTGAGAAAATCATGAGATCACTACCACAGAAGTTTGATCACATTGTGGTAGCAATCGAAGAGTCAAGAGACCTGGAAAAACTCAAGGTAGAAGAACTCCAAAGCTCATTAGAGGCGCATAAGATGAGAATGAGTGAAAGAAATCCTATTAAACTCAACGAGCAGGCGTTGAAAGTTCAACATTCTAAGAGTAATGAGAAAAATAATTTCAAGAAATGGAAAGGGAAATCAGGAAAAGGAAAATGAAAGAAAGAAAGTAGCAGTGCAGAAGAAAGTAGCAATGTAGAAGAAATAGATGAAAGATCTGATTCTGCAGAAAAGAAGAATCCTGAGAAGAGCTCGAAGAAGAAAGATAGAAGAAACATTGAGTGTTTTAACTGCCATAAATTCAGGCACTTTGCATATGAATGCTTCTCAGGCAAAGGGAAGAAAAAGAATAAGTTTCAAAGCAAAGAGACTCATCTTGCACAGGAAGAATCAGATTCAAAACCACTAATCCTGATGGTAATGACAACTACTGAAGGTATGAAGTCATTGGATAAAGGTTGGTATCTTGACTCAGGTTGCTCGAATCACATGACATGCAATAGAGAGTGGCTGGTTAATTTTGATAATACAAAGAAGAGCAAAGCCAGATTTGCAGACGACAACACACTAATGGTTGAAGGAATGGGTGATGTGATAATCAACAGGAAGAATGGTTCGCAAGCTTTAATCTCCAACGTGTTGTTCGTGCCTGGTATGAAATGCAATCTTCTCAGCATTGGACAACTGGTTGAAAAGGGATACACGGTGTGTTAGAATCGCTGCAGCGGAATTGTTAGCGTGGAATAACAAACCAAGAGGGTTTTTAATACGAACGTGTGCCTTTTAATTTCTACTCAATTAAACTTACCAAGCAAATAATAAAGACAAATAAAGAGAGTAAGGTTGAGAGAAATTTGCACAGATGATTTTATCCTGGTTCAGATCACTAGGATCCTACGTCCAGTCGCTTATCTCAAACAAGATAAACCTTTTTCACTATCACAAAACAGTTACAAATATTAGTCACACAGAAAAACAATTTGTAACAGTTTAGAAATTACCACCTCTCTTGAAACCACAAGAGACGAACTTACACCTCCTTTGAATCTTCACAAAGGATGAACACCTCCTCCGAATACTTCACGAAGGATGAACACCTCCTCCGAATACTTCACGAAGGATGATTCTCTTCCGAACACCTCCTTAGACACACCAAGGATGAACCAGCTATTCCTCTATCACCGTAGCAGTATTTCACCAACTCTACAGACAGAGTTTCCTTAGCTGAGCAAGAGCACACAAGTCTCAATGATTTCTGAGTACTAGAGCACAAGGGAAGAGTTGTTTTTGAGATAAACAGAGAGCCAATTTATAGACTCAGCCAAATACTCTTCCATTCTTCGAAAACGGGCCATCTAACGCATTTAATCGATTAACATAAGTATTAATCGATTAAAATGAGTACAACGGCTAGTTTTTCAAATCTGAAAACCCCAACGGTCAGTGTTAATCGATTATTCTCAAGATTAATCGATTAGCTAATCGATTATTATACACTTTAATCGATTATTCTAGTGGCGCTTGGGTTTTCAGGGCCAGCCTCTGTTTTAATCGATTAATACTTGTTTTAATCGATTAATACAGTGCGATTTTGACTCTGGACATTAATTATATAATATAAAATTACATGGAATCAAAACCACTAAAAATCTAAGTCCTAGACACTAAACTACAATTATTACAAAAGCTTTCCATAGCAATACAAGTCTTCATAACATCTTGAATCTTGATTTCTCTTGACTTGATTTGGACATCATCAAAACTTCATCTTCATCATTTTGCTAACATTCTCCCCCTTTTTGATGATGATCAAAAACTCCTTTGATTTAAAGCTTTTAGTAATAATCTGGATAAAACACAACTTACGGAAGAAAAAGTGCATTAGTGAATAAGCACAAATAGCACAAATAGGCAAATAAGCTTTAAACATTTTCTCCCCCTTTTTGATCATAATTAAAAAGTTGTGTTTGATGTTCTCCTCCTAAGATAATACTCCCCCTTAATAAAAGCAAGTATGCATATGAGCTAAAAATATTTTAAATTTAAAGATTCATTCAAACATGCACAAAAGGATATATAAAGCAAATATTTTTAGGATAAAGAACTTATAAAACATTGTTTAATCATATATTGAATTATATAAGATAGGAATTTT